TTCTATATAGTTTTTTTTTTTTTCTTGAATATTAAAAATTGTTGAAAATGATGAGTTTAAAGCCATCAATACGTTCAATAAAGCCCAAATTCTTTTTGGAATTACGAAAAAGTTTTTCCATTAGCACTATTAGAACTTCACCATATGATGATACTATTAAAAACATGAAACTTACAAAAAACACTAGAGTTGTTTGTCAAGGTTTTACTGGAAAACAAGTAATTAATTGCATTAGTTGACTAACAGTTGATTTTCTTTAATATATTATTATACATCTTAACAATTGATTTGATAGGGAACGTTTCATTCACAACAAGCAATTGATTATGGAACTAATTTAGTTGGCGGAGTAGCACCAAAAAAAGGTGGTCAAAAACATTTGGGAAGACCTGTATTTAATACCATAGCCGAGGTTAAAAAAAATTTTTCAAAAAAAAATATACATATATTTGATTCTTTATATAATCATATAATCATGTTGAATAAATGTGTTTATGTGTATTTATATATTTTTGATAGGCAGTTAGTGAAGTTAAACCAGATGCTTCTGTGATTTATGTACCCCCACCTTCAGCTGCAAATGCTATTATAGATGCCATCAAGGCAGAAGTTCCTTTGGTGGTAGCAATTACGGAAGGAATTCCACAGCAAGATATGGTTCGAGTACGTAATAACTGTAAAAGTATAATTGGATTTTTTTTTTTTTCTTATTTAAATTTTAATTTTTAAAAAAATTTTTTATAGGTTGTTAAAGCTTTAAAAAACCAAAATAAAACACGTCTTATTGGTCCTAATTGTCCTGGAATCATAGTGCCAGATGCTTGTAAAATTGGTATTATGCCCGGACATATCCACAAAAAAGGAAAATCTGTTGCCGATTATGTAGGAATAATAATAAGGTAACCGGAAATTTTTTGAGGCCTTCTAATTATAATTGTAGGCCAAAACTTCAAGGGCCAAATGAACCATTTAGAGGCTTAGTAATTAAAAGAAAGAAAACGTGGTTTAAATGATTAATTGGTTGGGATTGAAAACCTCATATCTAGAAATTGCTGAAATGATATATAGATAGATGTTGTTATATATGGATTTTATTTTTTGTGTAAAATAATGTTTTGCATTTACAGTATATAATTTATGATTTTATTTATTATGTTATTAAAATGATTAATCCTTATTTAATTTATTAATTTATAGATTTTTCAAGGAATCGGTAACTTCAATGTGTTGTCTATACAAAAAAAAAAATATTATAACATTTAATTAAAAAAAACTCACAACAAACAAAAAATACTATGATTGTTGTTGGAACGAACCTTTATTTTGCACAGCGTAAATAAATGACGCGATCATATCAACCTCTTTAACAGTTTGTGTTGCATAATGTCGAGTTACAGCTGCCACCAATTCTTCTTTTGTTGCGTAATCTCTAACCTTTAATTTATGAATTCTTTTATATCTACGTAATACTGAAATATCAAATGTGTTGAAATCTAACTGTATTAATGTAATGTAATGGTAAATGAAGATGGAATCTTATCAAGCACCTATTATATTGTCTCTCTTTTATTTCATAATTAAATACTTACAACTGGTACTTCTTTCCCAGGCTCTTTTCCTTTTGTTAGACGTTTAGGAAGAGCATCTGTTGAATTTGTTATATTACCATTTTTTGAAGCTGAATTATTATTATTACTGCTACTACTACTTACACCGCCTCCGCCACTATTACCATTCCCTCCTGCACCAGTTGTATTATTACTATGATTTGATGTAGATGTGTTGTTGTTGGTGGTGGTGGTTGTGATGGTGTTATTATTAGTCTTGGTTTTTGACGTTGCCATTTTTTTTTTTTTTTGAGTGTAATTTTTTTTTTATTCAATATGCCAATTTTTGTCGTAGTACAAATCAAAAAAATACATATATATTTGGGTTGGTGTTACATAGATAAATTTCGTAATTGATTGGTTGCTGTGGTTGATAATATGCAATTAACCCCGCTTTGTTT